GCACGTTTTGAAAATAATTCCTTTCCAAAATGGCCGAATTTAAATATGAAATGAAACGAAAGACAAAGTTGTTGTAATTACATTTATTTTGTAACATTATAATTGTTGTAAACGTAAATACTACATGTTCTAAGTAATATTTTGTAACAAAATATTTGTTGATATATTATCTGAATTAATTTCAGGTACATTTTATATTAAGGCCTTAACGTTATTTGTTTAAAATATAAGTACATTTTATAATAGCCATTTACATATAAAAATGTTACAAATAACTTAAATTGAATACACATTAAAACTTATCCTTAACATTACACTGTAGATCAAGGACGTTGAAGAAAGGCGGACATAATGTCATTTACAAATGTATTGAAGCATCACAATGTCAGTGGCACCTGGAACATCAGAGGCGTTACAAGTGCGTTGCCGGCCTGTTGGGGATTAGGAGTTTGAGGATCGTTGGACATTCAGGAATTGGGGAGATTGGGGAAGAGGAGGGTAATTGGGCCTCCGGTAATCTCACTCAAACGACGAAACACAACGCAAGCGTTGCTTCACGTCGGTTTTCTGTGAGGCCGTGGTATCACTCCGGTCGTTCGTCGTTCGTCGCTCATTCGTGCCGAAGCATGGCTTTTGGCTATTGTTGGGTTACCACGTTGCGTTACCAGAAATAAGAAAATGATATCCGTCTATCGTGTCGATGTGTTTATGTTCTGCGTGTTCTGCGTCCAAGGGCCAATTTTTCAATGTTCAGATAATTTTTAACTGAGGGATAACTTTCTATATTTGACGAGTCCTCCACACTAAAAACTGTCAATTTTATTCAAGGTACAGTTAAAAATTTAGGGCCGATTTTTCAATCATCAGTAGCTGCAGCCAAATGCCATTTAGCGCTGGTCTACTTGTAGAATAGAAAACCAAATTATATGGAATTGACGTAAATTTTGACACTTGTCAGCGTCATCCTCATACATTTCTACTCTCTCTGTAGACAAGCGCTAAAGTGGCGTTTGGCTAAAGGCACTGATACCACAGTCGTTTTCTCAAGAGACTGTGTCCGCCTTTTTTACAACGTCCAAGCTGTAGATAATATCCTTTTACTTTAAAAAAAAACCAATGGTATCAAAATCACACACTATTCTTAATTTTGTTTTTCAATATTCATAAGACGACTGCTGTAAATTGCTTAGCAAAAATATTACTATTGGCACTTTGAATACTTAGGTACACCATACATACAATAAGTACATAATTCTATAGTTTATTGGCTTTATAATCTAAAACATTAAACATGATTATAAGTTGTATTATCTTTGTGTATTATTTGCACGATATAAAATTTGTGTGTATCAAAAAACCCCAAACTTCCTTCATTACAGAGAGGGATGAGTACGAATTTTGTCTTACGTTTACCGAGATCGAAACAAGACCGCGTCCGGCGCTCTGATTGGCCGGCTGTTATGAACCAACCAATCAGAGCGCCTAACTCAGTTTTCTTTCGATTAATTTAAATGTAAAATAAACTCGTACTAAGGCGTCAGAAAATTAAAAGCATATGTCGGAATACTGAAACGCTACTCAATTTTAAGTCGTGCTTAAGTATAGTTCTATCTCTACAAATTCTTTGTAAAATGACAGAGATGGCACGATATTTGAGCACGACTTAAAATTCAGTAACGTTTCAGTATTCCGGCAATAGTAACTTAATACTGCTAATCCTAATTTTATAACATCACATTACTAAACGAACACTTTCTTATTACGTAATATCTCTACTCCTCTACAGTATTCCTCGAAAGGATAGGCAGATAAAATATTTTCAATTATTACCATCATGATCATCATCATCACGCCTTTTATCCCCGAAGAGGTAGGCACATTACGGCACTGCCGCTATACAATGTAAAACCCACTTTTTACTATTTATGTCCCATGTAATAGGGGTGAGCCTTTTGCCAGATACCGGGCATTATTCCATACTCCGTACTACTACTGAGATTTTTTTATACACCCAGCATTATTTAATTATTTAGCGCGACCTGGCAATCTAAACCGAGGGCCTCGATCTCTTGCCTGGCAGTCGCACTCGGCCAACAAGACAGGCAATTAATACTAGTTCTCCAAAATAAATTAAAAGTAAAAAGGGAACATTAAAACAGCGAAAATATAATTTTTAACAGCAATACCAGCAACTATTTCAGTTCAACTAACTGTAATTATAGTTTTATTTTTATTATACCTTTTTTTAATGGGACAAGCCCGCCACAACCTCCCATAACCGCTGCAACTCCTGTAAGCCAGGATCTACAGTAGATACAACCATGAAAACACCGGAACACTAAAGTCCGGCGCGTCTCAGGGACATGAGTAAATGTCTTGGTTCCCGCAACGAAGTGAATCAGAAGATATTATAAGAGGAGAAGAAGAAAAAACTATAGTTTCCACTTCCCTCGGTGAATTACTGCAGGAGACAGAATGAATTAAGCCTAAAGGCACAAAGAAGAGACTGTACAACTGAGTGCAGCCCAGTCGCCAAGCACCACGGAAATTTGACTAAAAACTAAGTGGGTCCTATGTGTGAACTGTTATACTTGCTTCCAAAATCAATTTTATTATACCTATGAAAGCTGAAGTTTGTTTATTTGAAGGCGCTTATCTCAAGAACTACTGCTCCGATTTGAATAATTATTTTGTGTTGGATAGCCTATTTATCGATGAAGGCTATGGGCTTTAAAACATCACGCTACGGTCAATAAGAGCCGAGCAGAGCGAATAAACTGCGCGGGAGAAGCTAGTTCTTTTAAATATATAGATTTATTTAAATGTTATAACAAGGATATAAGTAAGTACTCATTTACACGTTTAAGTATCAAAAATAAATTGTGCGTTTCTCCAAAGTCTATTGTTACGTTGAATATATTGGACTTAAAATAATATAAATGTAATATACAACTTACATTACTTATGAATATAAGGTTTTTCGGCTTACTCACGTAATTATTTGACGAGGAACTCGACTAGTTTCAAGCCATGTTAGAGGCATATTACTCATATTCAAAAGCAGCATTCCGCGACCCGCGACGCGGCATCTGTCGCGTTGCTACAGTCGTCGGTAGAAATTAGTCGAGTTCCTGGTCAAATAAATACGAAATTAGACCAAAAAACCGATTAATTTGTCTCAAGAAATTTATAATACTTATAAGTACTTATATTAACCCATCGTGTGCCTAAATATGGGTCCACACGAGACACAGTGTATTTTCTATTGTGTCTTATACAAGGTGTAGTTTTGAAACCGTGTCATTTCTCGGGGGCATGTCGCAGAAATCATAAAGGTTCAATGTAAGAAAACATTTCGGGCCAATAGTTAAAAATACGGCTATAATAAATCGATTAAGTTCGACAATATTTCAGAATAAGGGACAGCAATGTTTCTTATCGAATTTTTATGGAATTAGGAATAATATTGATTACGTATTTGAGTTTGTGTGTATTATGCCGCGTTATAAAGCTAATTACAAGACGGCGGCGTGTACTTCGCACTTACGGATTTCCGCAATTTCAGAAAAATGAAAAACATTTACCTACGTTATTTTTATTGTTTCGGACTCAGAATCGGTAGCCGAGTTACCTCCTAGAAAATGACGCGGGTTTAAAACAACACCTTGTATACAGGCATTCGAGCAGTTAAAGACATGCCGCGTAACAACCTTGCTTAAAAATTAAATTAAGTACTAACTTTAAATACGTAGTAAAAAAATAAGTTTCCTAGAAAAAAGATCTATATATGTTGCAATGCTGCAATTAATTCGAGCGTATTTTTATCATGTGTAATTCAAAAACGACCTTAAGCCCCCATTTAGTAGGTACAGATTAGATTTATTAAAAAATATAATATAGAGGTAAGTATACAAAATTGTAAGCAGTGTTTGAAAATATGATTTCATTAGATAAGTACCTACGATCGTTTGAAGCTTAATGCTATTAATACCTAACTAAAATCGCGGGTTACTCACTTGAATATACTGAGAAAAGCTCTACTAGTTTCGAACCACAGAGGGGTTCTTCCTCATGAGTAGCGTGCGACCTCGCACACTGGGCAATATAGTAATAAAAACAAATCTGGTTCTATTGAATATTACATATTTTTCACTTAAAAACTAAAATACTGCTACATTTTACTTTTAAGTACAAATTTATTTTTTATTCCATTCCAACTTACAACTGTAGTAATGTTATTTTTATTTTGTGTAATGTTTGTATGAAATCCATTTTAATTACAATAACAAAGATACAGCCAAAAATAGATCTGCTTATATTATAATTAATAATCGTTAGAAAAAAAACTATATTAGTAACACAAAGATATACGCTTAATTTAAATAAATAGTAATTATTATAAAAAATATTGGCACCATAAATAGACAGTTTATAAAGAATTCATTATTTATATTTTTTATTCGAATTATTGTTGCAAAATTACGTAGAATTTTGCCATGCCAGTTAGGATAAACTTTGATTTTATTGTTTTACATACCACCATACCATTGTTCCAATTTCTATGTTTTTTTTATGTTATAAGTGGTTTATATAGTTTTATTTTATGTAATGACATTTTTGTTTATTGGTCGCAGACAGCGCATATTTTATTAAAATACGTAAAAAGTCTCTTGGTCCCATTGTAGCACAAGTCACAAACACATTACACTTTTTCATGTTCCACACTACAATACCATTTCCAACATTTAACTAAAGGAATGGTTATAATTAAACGCTAGACAAATACCATTTCTCCCTTTTATATACTTTTTTCATTTAGAAGGCATTTGTATTAAAAAATCTAATGATGCCCATAAATTTCCGATTTTTCTTAAACCTTTTTTTTTAAAACCTTTTTTCCTAATTGCAATACTTTTTTTAAATCACTGCGTGACTAGACAATTTAAATCTTCGTCACAATGAATAAAAATACCTAGAAATTATTATTATGTCCGCTCGTCTCACCTGCTTGGCTCGCCATTTATTTCAATCTGTAAAGTAATACGCAAAACAATTAACAAAAAATCACTAGATAATTGTATACAAAGAAAAAGCTCAAATAAGAACAAAAATTCCTATAAGGACATACCCAATTTACTCGCTAAGGGAATAATGCCTACGTATCGCCTTTACATGCCAATTAATTTTCCTTATGTATCTGAAATGTTCATTTAAATTAAAAATTTCAATATATTACTATTAACACCGATTCACCAAAAAAATAACTGAAAGAAAACAGAAAGCAAATGTTCGCATAGTCAAAACATTGCTATAATATTTTCCACAGGCGTCATTGCGTTCCCTTAATGAGATTAATGAAGTATCAGCGGTGTTTATTAATTTTATGATATAATGATAATAGATTCATATAATACTGATTTATAGATACATTTACTATATGAACCTTCACCAAGTGATTGGCATTAGAATAAAATGTCTCCCCTTAATTAACATCACAATAAAAAATATGATTCATGATGAAAATATGTAAGGCGATACGATTCCCTTAGCTGATATGGCATTTATGACAATAAATATAAATAAAAGGTAGGTAATAAAACAGGGTTAAAAGACAATAAATCTATCATGAAATGGATATCAATTAACCAATACATAAATACGTAATATAATATCAGATAATAATATTCATCCACATAATGTAATCGTATACGAATAATCAATAAAGGCATCGTGGTATATGGAATTAAATACTTATTGATTTAAAGATGTTATAGACGTAGGTATTTTCATTATAAATGTCGCTGTAAAAATAGTAAAGATATTTGGACCAATGACATTTGAAATAATAAAACCAATAATTAGATACTAGAAGCACGACAAACTATACCATAATAGGTACCAATATCCATTATGTTAACAAAAAAACATCACTTTTACCCACGGTTCCACTCGCATGATATATACGCGTGGAACCGTCTCACAGATTTTATATCTATGATGATATCTTCAAACAAAATCCATTAAAATACAACAAACACACTAAAATATTTTGCCTATAAATAAAACATTGAATCTGATCATATACATGACACTAAAATTTCAGAAATATAAGATTAAAAAATGTTACCTTATCAATAGTAGCAAGGATAAGTGGTGCAGCATGAGCTGGTGCGGTTTCTCGATCAACAATCGCCCTTCTTGTATCCCCAGCACGTTCAATAGCTTCTTGTGGCAAGAAGCGCCACATACCCGGCGTGAATAACTCGGCATCCATCTTTAAACTCTCCTTCTTGTCGAATAACCAGCCCACGATCATGCCGACTGTGAGCGTCGCCAGTAACCCAAGAGGTGCTATCCAGTGGTACGATATTCTGAATAGTGGGAACACGGATTCTGGGTCCTGTTAACAATTTATTTTAAGGTTTAGAATGGTTTTGTAATATAAGGAAGTTAAAGGATTTGTTTTCGAAGCTCAAAGGCTTTATAAAAGTGATTGTTGTTGCATTCAAAAGGATAATACGATATTCAATCGATTTCAGCAATATTTTTTTGGGTTAAAAATTATCAAATTACTTCTTCCACCCTGGGTAAGGCGAGACGTGGTTTTTTGACACTCTTACTGCATAAACTACGTGTCAAATTTCAGCATAGCTTAGAAACGAAATATTGCATAATAACACATGGAGGAATATTATTTAACGACCCTTAATATAATTACAGTTGAATTTTAATCAATCTTATCAACATAACAAAATTGCGTTAATAAATTGTATGATACAATAGCTATATCAAGGAAAACTACTACAACACAAATGGTAGTAATTTTTTTCCTTCCTAGGCGCAGTTGAAAAACCTTGGCATCAATCAAGGATGCTAAAATCTAATAATGTTGTGTCACGAATATTTGGACTTAAAAATGTTACTTATCTATCACGTTTTTGACACAATCTCGAGATTTGAATGACTTATTAAGTAACATCCTTTTTAAAAAGATTTTACTAGTCTGTTTTTATCATTTTATCTATGAAAGTCTAGATCAAAGATGCCGATTTTTTCATACAGTGATATTTTATTTACCTAACTGTTTCAATGATATATGAAGTACAAAAATAATCTATTTCTTTACGAGTAGTACTTCAATATTAGACATACGTATCATAAAGTATTTAATAAAAGAATACTTACGATAGCATCACTAAATGAATCCACATAGGAAGCGTTTCGGGCACAATCCGAAGTTATATTCAGCGGTGGGGCTCTCAAACCATTAGCTGCAGCCGCTTGGGTCCCCAGCGATACTGTACCAGCCAGTAGGGCGCCGGCCAGGGCCCCTGAGAGCGCCCCTCGGGGGCCCACCCACCAGCACACCATGCCCAAAGTGAAAACTCCGCACGTCGCACTCGCTGCAATGGCTGATAAAGCTGTTGCTACACCTGATGGTATAAATATATAAAAATTAGTCATTATCCAACATTTTTATTGATACAGTTGAACGAATCAAATGTAAATTAACGAAAAGTAAAATACGTCTTGAACGTCACGGATAATACCTCTAAAGATACCATTATAGCCAGATTATTTTCTTTACAATCGAAATATCTATCATTAGGTAAACAATTATTTTTTGGACTGAATTTGATAAAGTCTTACCAAGAACGCCTCCAAGTTTCTCAATAACGAACAGCATCACGACAGATATAATAGCCAAGCTGGCGGTGATAGCCCTGGCCAGCATACCCTCAGTGAACGGCTTCAGTTGAAGCTTCAGCCAGCCGTGGATGATGTCCTCGATCACGACCAACGCACATGCATTCAATACTGCTGAAAGGGAACTAAACAAAGAAAAAATATACTTCAAATTCATTCACCCCCGGTTTCTGAATTACTCAATCCTGTCACATTTCAAATTACAGAAAATATTCAAGAAATAACAAGTTATTCAGAAATCAGGGGTCATTAAAGTAGGTCCTTAATTTATCACTTGTTTGAAGATTTCAGAAAAAATAGATACGCCCAATTACAATATCGTAGGTACATATAAAATTTCTAAATAATATATTTCCATCGTTGCACTTACCTAAGTCCAGCTCCAAAGACTCCAGCCAAGAAGACCCCGGACAATCCAGGCAAGTGCTTAGCTCTAGACACGTACGTCACAAAGGCTGGTAGAAGTCTATCATCGACCAGGGGCACACCGCCAGGGTCGCAACCTCCTTGCACCCAGGTAGCCCAGGCTGCAAGACCACACCATACACAGAGGGAGATCGCCAGGATTGCACCCAAGCAAAAGATGAATATGGCCCTGGAAAATTGTGTTTTGGTAAAGTTATATAGTCCCACGAATTTAAGATACACAGCGCGGTGATACCATCCTTATTCTTCTCACTGATGTCATAAGATCACATTATGGGGTTCTTATATAAATAGGCGTGTGACGTTTTACAGTATTAGGTACCTCTTACCCTTATGGCGACATTCCAACCTAACATGATTACCTACCGAACTGAACAATATGTGGAAATAAAGATCATCGTCAAGCGATATGATTTAACGATCAAATGAAGCAGTACCTACATAATAGGTCGTTAAACATTTCTGTGCAAAATTGAATTGAATTTTGATCATCGTTAGTTATTTGTGAACATTTATTAGTAGGTACTAGACGGTAGTTTCAATTCATAAATTCAATTGATGGGGTATTAGCAGTTTTTTGACTCCTAACGTAACTGTAAACGTAAACTGAAACTTACGATCTTCTGTCCTTAATCTTATATTTTTTGCAAATTAATAGACCTATTATCTCTGTGTTTTTTCCTATTATTAGGGTATGTGTGGGTACCTGGTTTTAGTATGACGTTGACGGCATGCGCACCATCAGCATTGTTGTCGAGATATGTGAACTTCTAGGAAGCGTTTTTGAATGACGGATAAATATCTGCGCTCACGGCGGTCAGCGCTGACCACCAAGTTCATATAACTCGGCTCAGCGCTGAAGGTGCGCGTGCAGGCGGCGTGAAACTAAAATCAGCCTTAACTCGTCGAGTACCGGTTTTATAGACACAATTAAAGAACAATAGGTCGCGGTCACCGGTGACCGCTTGGTCTTTGACAGATTAACTGTGATGTAATATGACTAACAATATTCCTTATGTAAGACTAAAAACAATGTTCCACAAAATATTGTTACACCGCACGTCAGCGCGCCATAAATAGATGGGCATTGACATCTTGACATTCACAACAACTCAATATAAAAATGTGGAAAGTTTCTGATAACAATTTTATGGAAAATCGGCTGATTTTAGCGTTATTTTGTTTACTAATAAGTTATTAATAACTGGCTGTTAAGCTAATCAGTTTAGGGGACAGTTATGGTCTATAAGACCAAACAAGTTTCAAGGTATACATATTCAATGAATACGAACTAAACCTATGTACCATATGCTTGTAATGTATTGTCCTCTGTAATATTGTATGCTGTATGGTGTACATGAAGTGATAAATAAATAAAAATACAAAGGTAAACCGAAGCTCAAAATTAGTTTCTAATGAAGTAACTATTGAGAGGTTTTCAAATAAAAATCTTATTTCAATAGAACATTTATATCAAATGTTCTATTGAAATAATGACTGCCCGTTGGCCGACTGGTCGCAACGCAACTGCGACTGCGAGGTCTCGGGTTCGATTCCCGGGCCGGGCAAAGTATTACTGGGTTTTAAAAAAAATCTAAGTAGTAGCACGGAGTCTGGAATTGTGCCCGGTATATGGCAATAGGTTCACCCCCTATTACCCAGGACTCATAACAGATTGTGGAAAGTGGGTGTTACATTATACAGTGGCATAATGTGCACCTCTGTCTATCCCTTCGGGGATAAAAGACGTGATGTTATGTATGTTGTAATTATATCAAAAACGTATTATGAGGAATCACACACATAAGTAGGTGGTTACCTATTCATCTTCAATATTTGCATGTAGGATGAACGATACGGTCCTCTTATCAAATAATTTACGGTGATAACTACTTACTTAGTTAATCTAGTAATCAATGTTTGTGGCACTATTCTAAACTGAGCTAACATTTGCATTGTCTAGAGGACACGAAACATACCCTACCTCAACGAATTACTTGTTATAAAATTTAATAACATTGCGTTATGGTGATAAAACTAATTTTAAGTTAATGTACATACCTATTATACTTTTAAAAGTCATTGATTTTGCTTGTCATATTATCAAAGATAGCAGCAGAATCTTTACTATGTTTTAAAGGAGTTTTGGATAGTTACCTATATTAAGATCAAAAAATTAATAGATGAATGAATAAAGAAGAACAATGCGAAGACCTTTTTGCTTAAGAAATCGCGTTCGTAATAATTTAATAACAATGATTCAACAACCTTGAACAGGACACAATTAGAGATAAATTATAATAGGTGGACATTACTATGGCAATAAGTATCTAGATACTAAAATCATACATGAAAATCTACTAGTCAAGAAATCCAATACCTTGCAGAATATTTCAAACCGTTTATATCTTCTTCCTAAGAGAGAAATAATTATTGAAATAAAATAAAATTACGCCATTAAACGTGGAAAAAATAACAACGCAACATAGGTATTCATTCTATACTTGCGTACCTATATTATTATCTCTTAGTTTAGTCCCTATTACATGGGATTCATAATATAACTAGTGAGAACATGGGAAGATCCTAAGTCCATAATATTTTTTTATAAACCCGTTTCTAAGAAAAATAAAGACCTTTCTCCATGTTTTTATAAGGGAAATTATATGTGCGGCAACAAAAGTTTTCTTTAGCACCTGCAACCTAGCGTCTTTTTTTATATGTGAGCGACGAGTTAATAGAACAGCTTCAATTATATTAATTCATCATCTTTACTATTCCAACAAAATATCAAGAAACCAGCGTCAATTTACGAGCGTAAATTAATATGACTCCGAGCTACCGATAAATATATTTACTTCTGATTTGATAACTCAGCGACTAATGTTGACTGACTGCACAGCAATTTTGGGCACCCCGAAACATTTGGTTAGGTTAGGTTAGAACTGCGACCCTCACAAGGCGCGAGGCGAGCGAGCGTAGCGAGCGGTGCCGCGGTAGCGGCCGCCGAGCGTTATATCACTAACTGCTTTTCAAATCTTTTCATACCATTTAGCCGTTTATATTAAAAATATTAGTTTAAATGTTGCGTCATATTAACAGTAGCTTGTTTTACAATATATGGTCGCTTATAAACCATTTATTAGACGCTAAAAGTTTGTCGCTGACCTATTAATTCATTAGACAACTAAATATATTTGCAGACGAGAATGACATTTTAAAGAAGCTGCCTTAATTAGCACCCTTTTTATAATAACTATCGTGAGACATACTAAATTAACTAAAATCGCGGGTTACTCACGTGAATATACTGAGAAAAGCTCTACTAGTTTCGAACCACAGTGAGAATGATGAAATCGTTACCTTAAATATCATATTAAATATCATAGTTGAAAGTACAGTCAATTTTGAAGTGAGTAAGACAAACTGCTGTACTGCATTAATGTAGGCAGTAAATGCCGAAGATTTGTGTCTTCTACGAAAAAGAGTTTTAAGACCGCATAGCTAAAGCTTAAATTGCTTAATTTTTTCTATGTCCTAAATGATCTTTCGAGGATTTATTGTTAACTGAAATCCTGATTGAATACAAATGACAATGTTTTTATAATAACAGTGAGCTGCGCGACGTCTCGCGGCGACCGCGCACGCTGCTCATGAGGAAGAACCCCTCTGTGGTTCGAAACTAGTAGAGCTTTTCTCAGTATATTCTTTTCTCAGCATGTTTATATTTTAACTTTAGTGAGATATACTAAATTAATTATTATGTTTTCGGCTGACTCACGTAGCTATTTGACGAGGAACTCGACTAGTTTCAAGCCATGCTAGAAGCCCATATCATTCCGCAATCGGCGGCTTGAAACTAGTCGAGTTCATCGGCAAACAGTTAATGAATAAGCCGAAATAATAATGAACCTTTCTCCATGTCACCTGACTTTTTGTGGCTTACGATCTATCATCCCGAGTCCACGTTTAAGATAAGACATTCACTCAAAGTTTAGTTCAATATACTATTACTTCTTTGAAATCATTACGGCGGACAGCCCTTATGCGAGCAGTGGACTGTCACCTTGATAAATATATACACATATGCAACTAGGGTTGCCAACCATACTTTATAATAACGTATTCTACTTTATTTTTGATAATCATGCTTTATACTTTTACATACAAATAAAGTATGTGAAAATAAAAATAAATTTAAAACCTTAACACGAATAACACGGTTTTTGTATAGTTAATTAAAGAAACTTACTTTGGAGTACCCACTCCAAAGTAAAAATTAATGCTTAAAATGACGAGTAATTCCGAAATTGAATTATTCTTGTAATTAAATTTATACGCTTTTTTCGTCAAAAAAAGTTGGCAACCCTATCTGCACCTAACCCACCAAAAGAACAACATGCTGCATGCATGATGTTACGATATCTTGTATACATTTTTAAGAATTTCATGAAAAGAAGATATGCTAAATAAGTACTTTTTTTTAACGGGGGAAAATCATCGAATGACTGCTCCCGCCTGGGTGAGGCGAAAGGGAGTGTCAGACTCTTACTGACTAAAAACCACCCCGTTCCTTCTACTGCACGTCGAGCCGGAGCCCCGGTTACCCGTTAGGTTCGCCGCGACAAAAGGTTCTCTGCTAAATAAGTACTTACGTGATAGCTTTCCTCTTAGTAGGCAACGAGATGTATCGTTGTACCATGGTCTGGTTGACAGAATTGAAGCAGGTCCAGTACAGGAATCCACCGACTACAGCTCCCCAACCGGTCTGCCGCTCGTATGGAGAGAAACTCCAACTGGGGACAAAGGATAATTATTAATATTATACATTTCAATTCACTTAAAAAACCTTTAACAAGTGGATAATAATATATGTACATAATTAAGTAGTTATTGGCAATAAGACGTATTACTGAGTCTTAAAAAAAATCTCAGTAGTAGCACGGAGTCTGGAAATGTGCCTTATGGACATAACATTAATACTAATAGTGAAAGTGAGTGTTACACTGTACAGTGGCATTAAATGCCGTAATGTGCACCTCTGCCTACCCGTTCAGGGCTAAAGGCGTGGTATTATGTTATGTGTAAAAAATACTTCTCCAAAAATAGTCTAGTAAATATTTATATTTATACATACGTGGGACTTAAGCGAATAACTTTGTCCCTTTCGGCACTCAATTATTGCAATTAGTCCCACCACTAAATGGTTTCAATATTTTCTCTCATTTTGGGCAGATTTCCAAAAATACATCAAAAGACGTCAGTACCTGTTATGTAATACTTGATTATAATATTAATATCTTGTAAAACTACTAATGCTAGAATTTAAGCGAATTTAAGTGTGTACATTACCGACACACAATACTGAGTGCTAAGTTGGCCGAGTGGCCGCAAGTGCAACTGTCAGGCAAGAGATCGCAGATTCGATCCCCGAATCGGGCAATAAGTATAAAGGGGTTTTTAAAAAAAATCCCAGTAGTAGCACGGAGTCCGGAACTGTGCTCGGTATATGGCAACAGGCTTACCGTCTATTACATGGGACTTATAACATAATAAAGTGAAAAGTGGGTGTTAAATTATACAATGGTGACATTACGTGTACCATAAAATGCACCTCTGTCTACCTCTTCTGAGTTAAAAGTGGTGATGTTATGTTACTATTTTATTACATCTTTCAGTCAGCATATAGGTAGTTCTGTCTTCCGCGATCAGTCGGTGCGCTACATTTGCTGTGACGTAAGTAAATATTAAAACTATACATATATAAAATAGACTCTAAGTCTAGATATTGCATAATGATTACCTACCGACAATTTTTTAGTTTGTATGAACAATTTTTTCTTAATTTTAGCTCAAATATTTATACGGTGATTTGACAGAAACCGAGTGATTACACCCAGAAGCTTTAGCGTAATTTATTTAGACAGAGAGGCAACAATCTTGTTGTTACATCTGTAACTATTCGCTTTTCACTTTATATAATCATTATGTCTTATTGTAATGTAGGCACGCGATGAGATTACTATTTAATTCTATTTTAGACTTAATACCATTATTTTAAGGCTTTGACTGCCGACAGAAAACCGTTGAAGGTAAATAATCCGCTAGCGTGGCCCATACGTTGTCCCCCATGGCGTTCAAGGTGTTAAAGCACATTTTTCGCTTACATGTAAAATCTTTGATAACTTAAAACAATCTCGATATTCTCGCCATGTGGCTGCAGTTGACCATATCAAAGGTTATCACAGCCAAGTTCATTGCCACTGCTTAAAGCCACGTGTTCAGGTTAAAGATTACTACTTACTTGCATAAGGAAATTAGTTTTACTTTTTCGCATGTAAATACAAACATTGATTATACAGTTGCACCAATACATGTTTAGTTATTAGGTGTATAAGGATTAATTTAGCATGCAGTGGAAATGAGATTCTTATGTGTTACGTACCTAGATGATTTTTTTAAATAGCTATTACCTATACCCAATGCAGGTTGTTTGTCTGTTTACGTTACTAATAAATGGTTTTATCAAGACCTGACTAGCAAAAAAGAGCAAGAATAAATTATAGGTGTTCCCAAATTACACAAAGTCTATCTAGGCACATAAATTCAGTCTGAAAATTACAATAATAGCACTAAGATTGCTGCAGAGGACAATAGACTTCATAATGTGATAGAACTCAGAAGTAACACTAGTATTATTTCGCTGAATGACACGCATAATCTTACGTCATCAGTTTCCATGGCAACACAACCTGGAACCAACACAAAGATACATCCACAGATAACACAAAACATTCAAATAATTTTGACAGTTCGGCAACTTTTTCAGATACGTTTTATGACTGACATGTGGAAATCGGTGCTTAAGATAGGCATACTTTTACTTTTATCGATATATGTATATTTTACAGTATTAATGTATATCTTATCTATAACTCCCACGTCGACTATGATGTGACTAATCATAGAACTCGAGTACTCATTGACGTATTTGTATTTTGTAGTTGTATGCCGGAACTAATAGGTGCTCTTATACATTATGCACGTGCACCTTTATGTACTTTGCTTTCGTAAAACTTAGAAATTATGACGTAGATATTATAGTTGATTAATCGTAAATGCAGTAACCTTATTCGTAGTTGCGGTTGGCACACTTATTTCAAGGTCTCGTTGAGTATGAACCTCACTGTCATCAGAATTTAGTAAATTCGAGCTTACCCTGCAAGACTCAAAGTCTTATTTTATTTGTAAAAACATATTTTTTACTAAGTGGACATTTTATTAATTTTCTTAACTTTTAAATCCTTTAGATCAAAAACGTCATTATCGCCAGATTTAAACACGATATAAAACTTCATTTTTTAATACGTTGATATATCGTACCGAAAATCCCCAAAATTAGTTCATACAAAAGTAGTCTCTAAACGTCGGAAACAAAGTCTATAATGGAGTTAGGAGATTTTGAGATCGGAGAGAGGTCACCGGTAACAGCTTGGGGATTGAACAGTTAAGACAATTGACACTGAAATTTACAATTTCCCGGGAATATGTTTACCAGTTTTCAGTTATTACTCACCAACATCAAAATAATTATAGATATAAAACACTTTTATGAATTAAATGCCGTATACACTATTGTATTAATATTCAACATACTTGGATAGTTCAAATCGTCCGGTTTCGTTGACGATGTCGATGACCTCCCAGACGCCGCCGACGGCGATCGTCCCGGCGGCCGCCACTAGGATGACTCCTATGAACATCACTCCCGTTTGAACTGAATCCGTCCACACCACAGCTTTCAATCCACCCTGGATGGGAAAACAGTAACTATTAATGTATTTACCCTATAATTACAATTAACATAATCCTACTTCCTACTAATCCTAATAATACCTATATTTTTAATGGCATAAGCCGGTAAACGAGCAAACGGATCACCATCAGGTAAGCAATCGACGTCGCCCATAGACACCTGGAACACCAGAGGCGTTACAAGTGCGTTACCGGCTTTTTGGGGATTAGGAGTTTGAGGATCGTTGGAGATTCAGGGATTGGGGAGATTGGGGAAGGGGAGGATAATTGGGCCTCCGGTAACCTCACTCACACGACGAAACACAACGCAAGCGTTGCTTCACGTCGGTTTTCTGTGAGGCCGTCGTATCACTCCGGTCGAGCCGGCCAATTCGTGCCGAAGCATGGCTCTCCCACACTTAAAATATAACTAACTATCTCAAATAGTGAATTAATTCCAATGATAGCATTTATTTAGAATTTCATACAGCATATCAGAAGTGCAGTTAGTCCACTTTATCTTCAATACTAAGTTAGAAAAAGGACTATTTATTTGTCACGTGTTCTAACACGTTGTGTTCTGGTAGTTAATAGCCATGCAAGATGACATAATTAATTCATTACACGCTGTTCATTCTTATGATTGTATGAGTATGAATAACTGTAAGACACGCATACTTCAATATATCATATCATAACATTACGCCTTTTATCCCAGAAGGGGTTTTTTTTAAAGGAGGAAAGTCATCGAATGACTACTCCCGCCCTTAGTGTCCGACTCTTACTGACTAAAAACCACCCCGTTCCTTCTCCTGCACGTCGAGCCGGAGCCCCGGTTACCCGTTAGGTTCTCCGCGACATCCCCGAGATGCACATTACGGCACTTAGTTCCACTGTACAATGTAGGTAACACCCACTGTTCACTATTTACATTTATGAGTCCCATGTAATACGGGGTGAGCCTATTGCCCTATACCGGGCACAATTCCAATTAAATTATAGGTTTTAATTCCAGTACATAGCGATACAGAGTTTTTTAATTATACATAACTCTTTTTTTCAATGTCTGCAAACATTGCATTGTATTGTGAACATGATTGAAAAAGAGTAACCTATGTAGTTTCTTGCTCGTTCTTCTCCATAGGAATCTACACTTTGGAACGAGCAAATAGCCTCACTAGAGGACTGAGCTACAGACTGACATTTTTGCTTATTATTTAATATTTAAATATTTTGTTTTGATGTTCAAAAGTGCCTTCCTGGTCTGTACCTAATAAATGATTTTGACTTTGACTTTGACTATTGCCGTTTCTAAGGCAATGGTATTAGTAATTAGGGGATGACATATAGAACCTAGAACATAACTGGTGAAGGAAATATTATAACACATGCACGTTTGAGCGACTTAAAAATGTTTTTTACGTTTAAATAGAATTTTGAGAACAGATTACTACAGAAAATATTGCGTACAGATAAAAAATACACGTACACGTAAAGGAGTACTAAAACTAGATACCAACATGCAATTTGTATCTACTTAAAAACAAGGTAATAAATAAAATAACTACTTACTAATACTGTATACAGGCCACATATGGTGACCATAGTACCAGCTACAGCAAATACACTGAAACCCGTCACTGAAAGTAAAATTAAATAAATACACATAAAGTTAAAACTAACAAATAAAACAATATGTATGACTAAAACAAAAATAAATCACTACTGCAATAATCACAAAAAAAAATATAACAAGCTTTAAAAAAAATTATGACTAAATAATACTGTAAGTAATAAAAAAAATGCATCTAACAAACTGCCAAATAAAAAATAATAATTAAGTTTTAAGAAAAATATGTCTCAAGGACTGTGTTTATAGTTTATTTTATAATAATACTATTTATTATAATATCATTTAATTTACTCACATTGATTAAACGCTAATGCAGGAACGTACACAATCATTGGCAGGAATAGTACCTAAAACAAAATACAACAATAAATTAAAAAAAGATAATTAATTTGTAAGGATAGGTATACACATTCAGTCAAAAATGTATCGGGAATGGATGATTTGTTTATGGTTCCAAATTCAAATTTTTGTTTTTTTTGTAGTTTATAGATTGATAGACAGTTTTCCATTTTAGCGCGCAGTTTGACTTCATCTGTTATTTATATTAAATACAGTGCTGGTTTTAGTAATATCATAATAATATATAAAGTACAATACATTTGTCTCCAACCGTACCTCTTTTATGTCTGTATTTTAAGTGTGTCGATCGACTAATCAATGCATATACAGTTGTATATCATGAACTATCCCGTGACCATTATTCGTAGACTCCTCTCCCTGTCCAACTTACAGTTGTCTATTAGCGGTAAGGTAGTCAAAATTCCATCCTGCTACGAAGAACTTAAATGTCAAACTTCAATAACACTACCTCATCAAGAAACTATACTTCGCACACTAATTAATATACTCGTACCTACTTAAATGCTCTAATTAATACGTTGATATATTGTACCGAAAATTTGTTCATACAAAAGTAGCCTCTAAACGTCGGAAATAAGGTCTATAATGGAGTTAGTGGAGAACAGTCACCGGCGAACGCTTGGGGATTGAAAAGAATAAGTCTTATTGGTTCAAAGATGAATATTTCCGCATTCAAGTCAAGTAAGTACCTACATGTACCGTCGTAGATTAATTCATCATATTGTTTGTGCCAATATAATTGCTGGTTTGTTCTTAAACCATCAAATCGCGGTACAAAGGTCGGCTGTGCAATTACAGTCGCGTACGTAAGAACTTATAATTATTTCCTTTGCCATACATATTAGTGTTGAGAAAAAATTCATACGCAGTTTAGTATTCGGTGATTAAAACACGATTCTTTTTCTTGTAAATACATATTTACCATAAACATATCCTGATAATATCGCATTAACGTATGTTATTTTCAAGTAAGTGCTTATGTTATACGGGACCAATTTTTTTATATACTAAGTACTTGATAAGTTGGCGCTTGACCACCATGTCACCTGGTGGTAAGCGATTATGTGACCGAGGATGGAACACAGTATAGATACACAGTACACAGAGAATACAATATCATATCAGTGAGTAAAACGAAGGAAGGCTATTAACACTGTTTTGTTGCGTCTTCTCTTTTTAAAAATTCGCGGGTTCAGCCACGCACCATAGATAACCTATCACCATAGACTATAGTATGACCATAGACTATACCACAGATACACAACAGTTATAATACTAAAAATAATTAAATTTATTTTCACTTTCCGAGAGTTCATTGCACCAAACTTATATTTTTAGTAAACAGGTTAAGACCAAATTGAAATGCGACCAATTACCTAATTTATTTCACAATTCACATACCAAGTACATTCTACTAAATCTATTCGTTCTTACAGACTTATTCTAGACAAACTATAAAGACACATAGTCCAGAAACATTAAGACATAATCCGTCGGCAACTGTTGCCATATTTTTAAACATTTATAAACGCATTCATTACATATGTATGTATGTTTGTATGTACTCGAATCCCAAGTGGTCAATTGACCATTGTAATCTTTGTACATTGTTTATGACATGTAGCAAATTGTGTCGGTCAAAGTCCGAAACGATGAAATAACCTTGTCGCAAATTGTTTTGAAATAGATTAAAAAGTAGGTTTAAAAGTAGACTGTGACGTTGGTTCTGTAGTTGCAAGTTTTACTAGAAAGCACGGGGCCCTATATTGAATCCCGGGATGGGTAAAGCCGGAACATACATGAATATTTTAAGAGTTTTCGAGAATAAATAATAAATAAATAAAACTTTATTCATAATAACAAAAACGAATTAGTAGTCGGTAGTATAATATGTAGCATGTAAGCTGAAATGTTATCACTGTCATCTTTATCGTCACCACGAACAGCCTACATTAGTGCCCACTATTGAGCAAATGCCTCTTCTCACACGGGGAAGGTTTGAGTATGAATTCGCGGGTTGGCGAATATCACTGTATGGCAAAAGAATCACTATTCAGCCTAAATAGGCAGTATGCACCTGTACCAACCTTTCCATAGAAAAAATACGAGATAATATTATGTGTTATATATAAAAACTATTATAATATGGTAGGCGAATAAAATTCTCCGTCGTATTTACAACGTTCGCTTTCTACACGTGTGTGACGTCACGACTGTCACTGTCACGAGTCGCTTTTGAGTTATGACTATGTGTACTGACGTGTCGCCGTCGCCGTCGCTAACATAACACATATAACAGGTGTTATTTATCAATGAAAATCTTGTAAGTATATAAATTCATTATGCAACAGAAAGGGACATGCAAATAATACTTTCAAAATACCTACAAAAAGATACTAATAAAAATCACCCCTCAGGTTTTAATTCGATTTTTTTTTCAATTAACACTAATAGCACGAAGCTTAGAATTATGCCCTATGTATGGCAATGGGGTCATCCATGCGAGTATGCCATATCTAGGGAAAAATGGACGTTGCATCTTAATATAATAATAACATCTGCCTATCCCATTGAAGATGAAAAACGTGAAAAGATGTATGTATAACCTTTAACAATATTACCTAGATTTAGAAGTATTTCTTGATCTAGATAATATTAATCTATGAAGAGTAATGGACGTTACCTAAAATGTTGCTTCCAAATAGTTTGAATACGTAATCATTCAATTAGTTAATCCCAAAATAAATTAATTCTCAATGCACTGTTGGCAGATGTCCACCGAATAAGTCCACGTCAATTTCATTCATTTTGTATTTAAAGAATACTTTGTAAATATTTTCTTTTCGAAATTATAAGTTCATCTATACAGAAAAACATTTATTCGGCCATTATTGTACGAATCATATAACAATGAACATAGACCTATCTGTAGTGTCAAAATAATATAGAATTTAAAATAAATTATTTTAAAATTTTGTAAATATCAAAACAACAGCCACTAACGCCAGCTACATTATACAAAATTTAAATAAATATCTACTAATCAGATCATAATCTCATTTTACAACATTCCACCACAAAAATAGACCTATTGTCTGTCGAATACTCCCATAGACTCCTTGGTATAAATTAACATATTATAAACATAATAGGTTATACCTATTTAAAATTTTCCATAGAGGCAGTGAATGTAGCTGGCAGGCGCAGTTCCGTCGGTACGACACGACAATTGATGTTGATTCTGTTCGTTCGAACCGACACCGGTCAAAGTCCGAAGTGTCAGCAATGCGAACGACCTTACACACACTCACTAATAAGAAATGCTGATTCTAAACAAACACCATTACTGTTTCTCTATGTAGGAAATACTACGAATTTGTTTGTCGCTATGGTAGGTAGGTACAATTACCCCCTCCGCAACTTCCCGAATCCCTAAATCCCCAACAATCCTCAAATTCCTAACCCCCAACCCCCAAACACCTAATGATATTATCTGATGTTTCGGGCGACGCTGATTGCTTACCATCAGATCCATCTACTCGTTTACCGGCTTATCCCATAAAAATAGAAATCTTTAAGTTTTTTTTTTTTCATTTTCATAAAGTTTCTATTTAGATATCATTTTCAACAGTATCGGCCTCCTCGACATAAGACGATTTGCCATATATGATCTCCATGCATTGGAGTCCCTTAGTCGGTACCTCATGACACCCGTAGGTTAGAAGTGACAACAAAAAGTATTCTACCTTGCCGTCAGTAGGTGCATGTCTCAAATATTAAGATTAATGACTATATATCTACCAGGTTTGGCCAACTTGAAGATCTACTTTTTACTAACGAAACCCGGTGCGACTTACATACTTCTTGAAATCTTAAATGAAACAACATTATGTAGAATTTAGTACATACATACCTAAACATACAATATGTTTTAATGAACAGTCTTAGGAGTTCCTTACGTATCACATGTACATAATATGATTGTTTCCTTAACTAAATACTTTGGAATGAAAGTCTCGATTTGATGATATTTAATCAACATTTATAGGTCTCGTTCTGTATCTTAGTGTAAGCATAGCGTCGCAGTATCTTGCACTTTTTTTTAAGGGGGGAAAATCATCGAATGACTGCTCCCGCCTGGGTGAGGCGTACAGCCTTAACTCGTCGAGTACCGGTTTTATAGACACAATTAAAGAACAATAGGTCGCGGTCACCGGTGACCGCTTGGTGTTTGACAGATTAATCATCTCACAATAATTTTCAAAATATTCGTTAATCTCTAATCGATTTCAATATTCGATTCTCATCAAAATTCACTTAGCGTTGTAAATGATTCACGTTATACGTTTTAAATTTTGTCTACTGTGTTTGATATTTATTTATGTTAACTTTAAATAGTAATGAACTATTGTGAGGGTAATAATAGTAGCATATTAAACTAATGTACTTATTACTATCATCATAACATCACGCCTTTTATCCCCGAAGGGGTAGGCAGAAGTACACATTACGGCACTTAATGCCACTGTACAATGTAACACCCACTTTTCACTATTTATATTATGAGTCCCATGTAATAGGGGGTGAGCCTATTGCCCTATACAGGGTACATTTCCAGACCTCGTGCTACTACTAAGCTTTTTAAAATAACCCAGTAATACTTTGCCCGACCCGGGAATCGAACCTGAGACCCTGCAGTCGCGACCACTCGGCCAATGAGGCAGCATATAAATAAATATGGTGTTCTGTAAGTCAAATGGTAATAAAATAATACAGTCATACTTGTAAAAGTATGTATGAAATTGAAAATGTGTTAGGGTGCGTCTACATATGGCGATTGTGCCACACTAGGATTTTCTCCTGTGTCGTGGGTGCGGTTACAAACATACAACTTCACATGACACCCAGGCCCGGAACAACAATCTGTGGATCTCGCAAAGATTTGTTGCGTGTGAGAAGCGAACCCACGGCATGTTACGCAGCAGCAAGTTGCCCAGCCACCGCGCTAACCGTGCAGTCATAAATACTATAGATTAAAATCAGGGCCGCGCCGCCCCTGTGTGCGAAGTGTGCGGCGCACACAGGCGCCAAGACAATAGGGGCGCCGTGTCGCGCCACCACCTCTACTTGAATTATTTTTGTTACCTTAATTATTATATTTTTGGTAGTAGAGTATCGATAAGTAAGTAGGTACAATAGGCGCAACATAGGCCTTGTATACAACAAAACTTATATTACGCTTATTAAACAAGTCTCTCAATATTTATGTTTATTATTAATCACGTTTATGGTTTCATTTTACACTTAGGGTTTTAGTTTACATTACTTACGAGTTACAAGATCAACGTTAAAACGGCGGCAGATCTTTTGAACCACAGATAAAGTAGGTACCTATTAGTTATATTGAATCATAAAGGCGCCGACTTTGTATGAGTAAGTATGAGTGAGTTTGTGAACGCAACCCGATGCGATGCGTGCGAGGCTATAGGAGTAGGGTCACAGGGATTCCCCGATTTTAACGAACGAGAGAGTCAAGCTAAAACAAAACAATTGAACAATCATTTGATTGAAAGTGTGTGTAAGGTGCGCATTGAACTTTTTACTGACTTTAAAAAAAGGAGGAGGTACGTATGTTCGGCTGATTGTTTTTTTTTTCAGTACTCCGCCATATGTGAACCGATTTCGAAAATTCTTTTTGTTTGAAAGGGTATACTCCCGAAATGGTCCCATTTCCATGAGGTCAGGATCTGATGATGGGACCCAAGGGAAACCAAGGGGAACTTTTGAAAATTCTATGGGCGAGTACTGCGTCTATTTTGTTTTTCAATTACGATTTTTAAACACTACAATTTGATAAGGGTTTGGATTTGACCTGATGATGGAGCCGACAGACAGTCGAGGGAACTCCTCAGCGGTTTATATTAACTACCTTGTGTTTGTACTAAATTAATCAAGCCCAAGCATAGGGTAGTTAATAAAAACAGCTGAGGAGTTCTCTCGATTGTCTGTCGGCTCCATCATCAGGTCGACTCCAGACCGTTATCAAATTGTAGTGTATAAAAATCGTAATTGAAAAACATAATAGACTCATTACTCGCCCCTAAAATTTTCGAAAGTTCTCCTCGGTTCCTCTCGGTTTCCCTAGGATCCCATCATCAGATTCTGAGCTCATGGAAATGGGACCATTTCGAGAGTATACCCTTTTAAACAAAATAAGATTTTTGGAAATCGGTGTACAAATGGCGGAGTAATGTGCGAACAAACAAAAAAAAATCAATCAGCCGAACATAGCACCTCCTGCTTTTTTGAAGTCGGTAAAAAAGAGGCGCTCCATCGATTCCGCACACAGGCGCTGCCGGGGGTCGGCGCGGCCCTGATTAAAATATTCTGGTAGAAATACTATAGACCTATTATCAATAATGGCTATAATCCGAAGATTTTAAATTGATATCGGTTTTTAATATCAAATCTATTTACGCAAAAATAAAACATGATTTCTGTGAGTTATTCACAACTAAATTCGCAGTGCATTTATCAAGGCCCTCAGGTAACCATATAAGTATTTAGTTAGCTAAATCGCATCGCAAATCAATGATAAACAAATATTCATTGTTTACAAATTACAATAGCACTTATTATACTTTTTACCAAGTTTCCTGTAAAAGGTGACATCAATACTTGTTAATGACGTCATCAAAGTGTTTCTTAGGTAAATACTAATAGACTTTAAGTATCTAGTTATTCAGAACTTGTTGGTTTTTTTTTCGAGTGGTCAAGTCAAGTGGCTTCATTAGTCAATTCGTCGACAGTGTGTAAAGTTATAGGTACATTGTATATTTGCACCTCTGCCTAATTGTCTGGGGATTAAATACATGGTATAGTAAAGATAGCATAGTTTTTTTATTTAATGAGGGTAAACGAGCATACCGATCGCCTAATAGTAAGCGATCAACGTCGCCCATGAAAAAACGTACATATAAGTACTTGATTGACAGTAAATCTCCAAAATTTCTTTGACTCATTCGAATTGCAACTTTTTATCTATTTATTTTGGGTATAGATTACATTAATAATCTTAAAGTCGGTGTGTCATATTTTATCGTTCACTATCCCATAGTATATAGACAAGAATCTTCTCTTATAGTGTGAGTAATACTAGGTGTCATGTGTATGTAAAATTGTATGTTTGTAATCGCTGGGTGCGTGCTCCCCACACAGGAGAAAATCCACCCGTATATCCCCAAGCCAAGCGGTCACCGGTGACCACTCTCCACAAACTACATTATAGACCTTATTTCCCATGTTTAGAGACTACTTTTGTATGGACAAATTTAGGGGATCATTTTCAACAATTTTCAATGGGTTAGTGTGGAGATACAAAAATACAAAACCATATGCCTCAATCAGGAATCGAATCACTATCTTAGTAGTTACAGTAGTATACGTATAACGACTTGTACCTATACATATAGTATAGTAAGTATCAATTAATAGATGGCGTGTCTAAAGGAACATAATAATTTGTATGTACCCACATACATGTAAAGGTATGTATGAATGTTGAACTCACCTCGTCGAGTAGGAACAATACCGAGGCAGCTGCCCGAACATTCTTGTTAAACCTTAACTCTAGGTACTGAAACAAACAAACAAATAACATTTTACAAAATTATCACACCACGTAACAATTTCTTACATAAATCTTAATGAATACTAGCTAAATATTAAAACTTTAGTGAGACATACTAAATTAATTAAGTTTTATGTGTTCGGATTACTCACGTAACTGTTTGAGGAACTCGACTAGTTTCAAGCTATGCTAGGGGCTCATATTCATGAGCAACATTAAAACGCGACGCAGCGACTGTCGCGAAACTAGTCGAGTTCCTCGTCAAACAGTTACGTGAGTAAACCGAAAGCATAATAACTAGCTTAATAATAACTTAAATTTAAATATTAACTATTGTGAGGAATGTCACATTAATAATGCCAACTTAGATATTAAGGGAATGTGGGCTTCGGTCAGGCTCGAAAGTATGCGAATACCCGCGTACCTAATATCTCATCATAACAACACGCCTTTTTATCCCCGAAGAGATAGGCAGAGGTGCACACTACAGCACTTAATGCCAATGTACAATGTAACACCCACTTCTCACTATTTATGTTATGAGTCCCATGTAATAGGGGTAAGCTGATTATCATATAGGTACCGGCACAATTCGAGACTCCGTGCAACGGAGATCTCCTGCCCAGCAGTCGCACTTGCGAACACTAGGACCACGAGGCGGTCCTAATACCACAATGTCTAATTTGTTAATCAAATTAAAACCTAAACAATGCAGTAGGAAGTGTTGCATATCGATTCTAAAGTTACTCTAATTTAGTAGTAGCAGTAGTTTCATAATTAAAGTTTGTATTTTTATGCATGAAGGTTAAATATCGTCCGTAATATTGTTATTATAAAAAAACTAATAAGTACCTAAATCTTATAACATAATGTAATGAGCGTGTAACACGAGGAGCACGAATCCAAATTATATAGACCATAACAGTAAATTACTTAAAAAACAATAAAATTACTAAAAAATTAAAAACAGAGACTTCAAACTCATAATAACTTAACCAAAGATACAGACGATTTTACAATTCAACAAAACTATGCCAATACTAATTTAACATACATACGTCGCGTCGTGCAAACGTACTCAATACAATCATCGTGCAAATCTACGCATGCGTTTTTTTCTTCACGGGGCAAAGTCTACTTCAAAGCGGTTGTCAATTCGTGATCGATTACCTAATGGCGATAAGATCTACCGACATGGAGATAAATTATAGAATTTCAATGAGATGATTATTGAACGTTTATTATATTACATTGGATACAATCTTAGGCCATTGAAGTTAATGATATAAATGATATATGGACTCATCATTTAGTTCAAGACAGTACACTGACTTCTTAAACAGAAGAACGTCTTAGAAATGTTTCTGATTATATTTAGCTCTGTATGGAAAGGTGAACGTGCAGTATTTAAGATTTGTTATCTGAATGTACGTTTATCTGTAGTATGTTTGATCTCTTTATCCGGAACCCGGAATAGATAGCAGTAATATTTATTCTACCTACTCAATACAGGGGACGAAAATTAAAAATATCTAGTTAAGTAGTCCGTCAGTTAGGTAATGAAAAAATATTACACACGTATCTTTTTATTTTGTCGTATAAGAAAACAATACTTACTTAGATAAAACGAATCAAAGTTTAGAAGTGGGAGGTAGCTAAGCTACGTCATTTTAGAGTATAAATCGTACTCAAAAGTAACGTCATGTAATGTTTCAAATCAATATATCTTCGAAACTAATCGTTTTTGTAAGAAAATAAAAAATACGTGTCTAATGTTTTTAAATAATCTACCAGACGGACATTAAAATAAAAATTAGTCTTCTGATTAATTAGATCGATAAAAGAATGTAAACATACATTTATCGAAATTTCTGCTACAGCTTTAAATATATGGGTAACCACTGCTGAACCTAAACTTAAATAATAAACAATACAAAGCAATACTTTCGACTTCACATGAATTCAGAAACTCGTACTAAAAGCACATTTATCTTGACAAAGTCGTAACAAGAATAAACACAAGAGTAAAATTATATACATATAGGTAGATTAAAATTATATCATTCAGGGAGTCCCTAGAGGTATGGATCATAGACAGGTGGACAGATCAATACTATTATTTGTATACCTATAATTATGATACTTAACTTACCTCATACGAAGAAGATAACCTAAGTGTGCAGAACACAGGTAAGTATATGGTAGCTACTGCTACACAGCTGAGGGACACTCCGATCACCACCAGCCAGTACTGAGTGCCATAGTTGTATATCTCAGCCGGAGTCCCCAATATCGTCACTCCGGAGACATAGCTGAAACAAACATAATAATGAACACCTGATAATGAGTTGATACCAATAATGTTAACATCTTATTAAAAGTAGACAACGGCATATGCTATACTAACTTTTGCCTGCAATTTTGCCCACATTCCCATGGGATAAAAGAACCCTATGTGTTATTACTTATTAGAGGTCGTAATATTATATTCTTATACCAAACCTCCTGATCCCTTCAGCAGTTAATGACATAAGCAAGCGGTATCATTTTCCAGAGATTTCCTCTCGTTCAAACAATTGAGTACTTGCCATCTACTCAAATTCAATACATTTTTCGAACTGTCAAAAACGAAAGTTTTCTATGAATTTTGTACGAGATTGTGTATTGTGGCGTCACGTTTTTTAGCTTCAAACAGAATATTATTTCTTAAAAATTTGCTGGACAAATAGTAAAATTAAGTTGGTCAAAAAATCAATTAGGTAATAGAAGTGTGATTATTTTTTAATATTTTATTGTACCAAATAGTCGAAATATTTTTTTTTGAATTAAGGCAAGTACCCAATTCATCCTTACTAATATTATTAATCTGAAAGTGAGTTTGTTTGTTTGTTTATTTATTCCACCTTCACGCCGTAACTACTCAACCGATTGCTTTGAATTTTTGCAGACGTAAAGTTAGAAGTCCGGATTAAATAATAGGGTACTTTTTAACCCGGAAAAAATTGATATTCACGAGGAAATACAAAAGTATTGGTATAGATGGCGCTGTGTGTATTGGTATACGTCACATAGGTTACTTTTTATTCTTTTGTGACGCGAGCGAAGCCGCGGGTAAAAGCTAGTATGCAAATAAGTCGGACTTATCAACTAAAGACCATGGAACAATAGAACGATTAGTTTATGGGTCCATGATAAAAACTAAGTTAAATATAGGCCAAGTAATATAACACTTACACCTAACTGTATAGTAGCTATATATGTGAGTAAACAATCATCAAAATTAATTAAGTATCACTATACCATACAAGTAGGTCACGAAAAATTAATTGCATTAAGGAATTAGTGTCATGGTGGCATCACTTGATAGTAGAAAAACAGCTGGCACTGTTTACTGTCTCAAGGCCACACAAATAGTATTTTGAAATAATTTCAGTGGCAATGACATTTCATAAGTAAGCATGAGATAATTGAATCCACATACATGAACAGTTCGGTAAAATAATCAACCGAGCTTGATTGTACCGCTGCTCTTCAAAGGAGGGTTTTTTTAAGGGGGGAAAATCATCGAATGACTGCTCTTAGTGAGGGAGTGTCAAACTCTTACTGACTAAAAACCGTTTCTTCTCCTGCGCGTTGAGCCGGAGCCCCGGTAACCCGTTGTTAGGCTCTCCGCGACTCAAAGAAGGGTTTGCAGATGCAATGATATGCATGCAGATAGGATGGAGATTGCGGTTCAAAAGATTTCGATTTATTAAATAGCTATTGTGCTCGGTTTGTTTTTATGTCCCTCGTGTAAATACCTCTAAAATATATACAGTGTGACTTGTAACTCGACGTATTCCTCTCGGGAGGTGATAATACCACTAATTTCTTACAAAATTAGCCTTGAGCACCCTAGTCCGAAAGTGGCTAGTTTCTGAGATATTCAACATTTTTGATTTTGCCAAAAAAACCTGAATAAACTACAAAAATATCAATACATAAAAAACTGCTGGTTTTTAGTCATTTTAGTTTTAATTTGTTGTCAATACATCATTACTAATTTGGACATACAATCTTTTGTAGGAAATTAATTGTATTATCACCTCTCGAGAGGAATACGTCGAGTTACAAATCACCCTGTATAAATAAAAATCACTAGACACTATAAGGTCAGTAAGGCAACCCATAGGTACTTGGTTTAACCTAGGACAAACCAGTTTAATCTCGACGGTATAATTAATATGTAGCTAACGATACACTCATAATATTGAAACTAATACAAGTCCAATTTCCTCTACTTGAACAGTGACATGTATTAGTTTAACACTGTATTACTTTGAAGTCGACTTGTAGATATAGGTGCCCGTCTATGTGCAAGATTTTAGTGCACAATTAATCAATGCTTCCTATTATAATATTATTGTAAACTAGCCGTTGCCCGCGATTTCGTCCGCGTAGAATATGATTCGTGTTTTATACCATGGGAGCATTTAATCGGGATAAAAAGTATCCTATCACCTAAGTCAGCCCATACTCTGCCTGTATTCCAAATCAAAATCCGTTCAGCGTGATTGGCGGACAAACATCCAAACAAAGAAACTTTCACATTTATAATATTAGTGTGATGCCAAAGAGTTTTTTTTATAGCATAAGCCGGTAAACGAGCAGACGGATCACCTGATGGTAAGCATTCGGCGTCGCCCATGGACACTCGAAACACCAAGGCGTGACAAGTGCGTTACCGGCCTTTTGGGAATTGGGAATTTGAGGATGTGGAGGATTCGAGGATTCCGGAGACGGGGACTAGGGAGGGGTAACGTGAGGTTACCGGAGGCCCAATTACCCCACGTCAAGGAAAAAACACAACGCAAGCGTTGTTTCACGTCGGTTTTCTGTGAGGCCGTGGTATCACTCCGGTCGAGCCGGCCCATTCGTGCCGAGAAGAGAGTGGTTGTTTGTTTATCGTTCAGAAAATGAAGAGTGATATTATGGACTACATTTTTTTTACTGTGCAGATAGCATAAGGCTCTGTTTAACAGCTAGTTAAATAAATATGAGTAAATCATGACACGTTATCTCACCTGGCAATCAGCGACATGGCAACTGGAAACGTGGACAGTGCTCGTCCACCAAGAAGGTAGTCTTTAACGTCTACCACCTTCTTGGCTTTGGAGCCAATGGCACTGTACCACAGGCCACCAGCACATGACACGGCGCAGAGTACACCGAAGACAACGTAATCACCCACCCCGAAACCCCCTTCTTTCATTGTAAACGGCATCTTGATATTTAGACCTGTGAACAAAAGACATGTGTTTCAGTTAGTTAAAATGTCGTTTCTACTTGCAAATCTACTATTTATCTTTATGTAAAATTAAAAAGAAAATCTAATGTAGGTCCCGATCTGATTACTATTTTTTTAAATGGCGAACGATTTTTCACTTGGTATCAGTTTTGAAGTTCAATGCCAATAAACAAGCAAATAAATCTTTTTTTATTTAAATACAGTAGATATTTAAAATTATAATTAATAATTTTATTAACATAAAATAAAAGGCGTTAAGAATTCAATTGTATTTTTTTCTGCTTAATTTACGAAACGTAACATAGATGGCGTATCGTATGGTATAATAATATTGACGTCACTAACTTGTATCCCCCGTACTTAACAAAATGTCACATTAATTTCGATTTAGATAAAAGTATTGAATTTGGCTGATTATTCCTTCCCTTCTACTCAGGTATTAATTAGTACATCTAACGTCATTCAAAACTGCACCTATTATAGGTAGGTAATAAAATGACACTGTTGTTTTAATATGTAGGTAATTGTTGTTTTTTATTCCAGTCTTGCGCATTTTTAAATAAACTAGGAGCTAAATAAAGATTATAATTTTTGTACAGAAGTTATATTTGTTGAGTTGAAAATGATAAATTCTCTATCAAATTTCATCCAAAGTTAAGAATTTCCTTTCAAGTTTCATGACCCTGGCCCATATTATCCAGTTTTAAAGTATCTCAATATAGTACTTAAAACGTAAATACGATACTAATTGTTATTGAGATGGAATTTATCCCGTCAGATAATCGTATTTTTTGTCAACAACATATTGAAACAACGCTATAATGGCTGCAAAATGTGCAGACTGAGGCCAGAATTTTATTTTAAAAATGTTTTTGTTTTTTTAATATAGCGAATAATTTCGCAACGTCCGCTCCAACCTTGAGGACTTGTTTTAAAACGATGAACTTTACCATTTCAAGATTTTATTAATACACTTTTGTCATTAGTGAATTGAGATCACAGTCAAGATCGAATGACATAGTTATTTAATCCTATAAAAATACATATGTAACTCGATTACAAAGGCCGATGTTGGCGTACTTAACAAATCGTATATTTTGCAGTAATGCTTTAATAAATAATTTAACGACCACTAACGTAGATTATTTTACTGTCGTGGATTTAGTTGATCTATGTCAAGAATCTGATGAAGATGATGGAGAAATGTTGCATAAATAATCACAAATTATTAAACCAAAATAGTATACAACGAATTCGTAGCCATAAAGGAATAAATCTGATGTCCAAGTAATTGCCTGTTATCAGTGACAATTCTTTTTCAAATGCATCTTGAAGACTACCATAATAGAGGATAGAACAACTCATAACATAACATCACGCCTTTTATCCCCGAAACAGTAGGCAGAGGTGCACCTTACGGCACCTAATGCCACTGTACACTTTTCACTATTTATGTTATGAGTCCCATGTAATAGGGGGTGAGCCTATTGCCATATACCGGGCACAATTCCAGACTCCGTGCTTCTACTAAGAATTTTTAAAAACCCAGTAATATTTTGCCCGACTCGGGAATCGAACCCGAGACCCCAACGAGGCAGTCACAACTCATTGTTTCAAAAACTATTACGAGCTCTTAATTAATCTAATCTTAAACACGACAAACACTATGGCAAACACCTACTTACATAAAATTAACGACATTGAATGAACCAAGAAAATAACAAGTAATTCTATAAATAATTTGAACTGTTTTTGTGCTGCACCGATGATTAATAATCATCATGCATCAACCATTAACGGAAAAATTCCGAAACCGAGTGTTTGTGTTATGAATTATGTCAACAAAAACACGAAATTACGAGCTAATATTTTGATGATTGATTGAATTACCTACTCAAGGTTAATCGACTGTCCTGCTGCAAGTGCAACCGCCTAACTACAAAAACCAAATCGTAATCGATTTCTGAGTTAGGCATTAAGTATCACTTATAGGTTTGTAAAAATCAAAATGTCGTTAAGTGTCACCTATTTTAGCTTAAGGGTGCCTTAAAATTAAAGACGAGTGGTGAAAACGGGCATAAGTACTTATTCGTGCATCTTAGATACCAAGATCTATCTCTGTACATCAGCAGCAGTTCAGGCTCCAGATCGTAAACAAACATACATCGGTACATAAGTACTCACTTTCGGGCTCCACGGTTATAATATAGCTATAGTTAAAACTAAATGAACTGATATATGGCAGTAAATGCAAGAAGATTTACCTAAAACTTGCATCATATTGTCGTATATTATGAACATTAACATCATCATCATCATGTTCGGTTATATGTATGTATATGTGTGTCTACGAAAGGTTGTAAGAAAGTACACGTCAATCAAATTTTTAAAAGTTGAAGTCGCCTATCTCTAAACTTTTCTAGAATACCAATGCCTTTAGTCATTTGAGCGTCCTGAAAATCGAACCTCTACGACAATCGGGGAGCAAAAATTTATCAAGTTTATATGTAACTCAATTTGATCCCACCCCTCAGTGGCAGATAGTAAAAATCATTAAACTTTTTTTCACTAAGTAGAATAAAAATATTTGACTCACCTTTTAATAATTAAAAAAATAAGTTAATAGTTACTCCGTTAGTCCGGAAGTACACATGGAATTGTTCGCATGTATGGGATCTTGGCAACCTCGCAAGGGCATGCACATATACGTATATTGGCAATAACAACGTCACTAAAGCCACATAACCGCATTGCACACTTTACTTTCACTTAACATAACTTCGATAAAACACCAGCACAAATATCCTTCGATAAACGCAGTTATATCGCCCGCGTTCAACACAAAACTGAACTCGAAGTTCCCGCGCGATCACACGTCAATGTCACTTCATAAATCAATTCATTCAAGAATTTGCACGAGGAATATTCAAAATACCACACGACTTATCTAACCCAGGAACTATTAACAACTTCGTGCTAGTTATTGTACAACACCTCCTAAGACTCATGTATAACAATAATATAATCGTTCGTTTATTATCATTCCGTAATAATCAAAATAAACCCTATTTGACGTGCTCTTTGGCAGCTGTCTGTCGCGAAACCGTGCCACAGATTGTGACAACAAACCACATGGCATGGTTTTGAAATAATTGAAATAGGTTTTACTATACAGCAACCCTAGCGACACCTAGTGGACGAATGAGGAAATACCGTTTTACCTACTGTTTTACCGACATCTATGTACCAATCAAAGAAGGATTTTGTGAGTTTTGTATGAATACTTTTTCATTGTTCTCTTTTCCAGGTTTCAACAGCTGTTCCCGATGTGTATTACAAACGTCATTACAAACTGAACCACTTCAATCAAAGTGTATATGACTTTATTTTTATTTGTGTAACCTGTATCAAAAAATATTTTTGTATTAAATTACTTGCAATATTTACAATCTAATTCGTAACGCGTTTTTATGTAAATAAAAAATATTATTTACTTATAAATTTAGAAAATGGGACCGAAGTCGAAGGTTGAAGCCGTTAAAAAATTTGCACCACCTGTTGTACGCCCAGCGATCAGCCAATCCAGTCTCGTTTTCGTGCCTAGAGATGTTTTAGAGGGTAATTCATATTTTGATCAGTATCATCATTAACAACAAGCCCAGAAACTGTCCACTGCTGGATTTCTCTGCCTAGTCAGTTCTTACGAAGCCGGGTAGAATGTATTCTACTCAGTCGTCACCACAATAAACATCGTTTATTTGTCGTAGTATAAGAGTTTACACAGAAAATGTGTACTTTTTCTGTACACTATACAATATACTATATAAACTTTTGACATAAGTTAGAATGTATCCGGTATATGGCAATAAGCTCACCCCTTATTACATGGGACTCATAACATAAATAGTGAAAAGTGGGTGTTACATTGTAAAGTGGCATTAAGTGCCGAAATGTGCACCTCTGCCTACTCCTTCGGGGATAACAAGGCGTGATGATATGTTAAGAAGTTATTTTTATTCTAACTTTTTTATGTTCTTGAACTCCTAGGTTTTCAAGAACGAGTAGAAACTGATATAGACTGGACCGTAACCGAAAGCAGTTGCCGCTTTCATAGAGCCCAATACAAAAGAAATGATGATGCAAAGGTCACCTTTTCCCAAGCTTTGAAAAACAAAATAAGTAGAAGTATCATCAGTGGGTTCCTCAATAAAGATTCTGGATTGACTCTTCAACAGAATTGGGAATTTTTATTACCAATAACATTGTGGGATACGGAAAATTTCGCTACTGATGAAGGAAAAATATGTTTTGACAATGAAAACTGTGTGACTGATGATTTAATGAAATTAATAAAAAATGCTGTTGATGCAGGAGATAGGAATGTTTTGAAAAATGATTTGATGACGGTCAACGTTTTGCGCGTTAATGGTATGCAGGTAAATACATTTCTGTGGCATTGTAACTCCGTTAAGTAGAAAAGAAAATTGAAGCAACTTTTCCTCACGAAACAATGGTCATTAGTAGTTATTCTGATTTTACGTGGAACGGATGTAAGGCACATAACATTATTTATTCGAAATATTACAAAACAGAACAATATTGATATGTAAGAAAAGTGTCACATTATTGCTAGATTAATTAGTTTCTTGACTGGATAAACATTTTTTTCCAGATGACTGAACTAGACGAAACTTTGACTCGATACAAAAAACTAACGACACTTAATTTATGTAGCAACTGGTTAACGGAACTGAACACAACGTTTATTCCGCAAACTTTGAAAGCTTTTGAGCTCCACAACAATTGTATTTCTGATGTATCCGGATTTGCCGATTCTTTACCTTTTGATTTACTCTATTTGGGTCTAAGCCGAAACATGCTCACAACAGGTAATTAATCTTAAAGCTTTTTAAACCTTTAATCACTAATTTAAAATGTCAGCATGATTAAATTTGTTTTTCTACAGAAAATATCGACGCTCTTGGACATCTCCCTTACAATTTGACGGTTTTAGATTTAGCAGACAACGACATCTATCATTTAACTCCAGTACTAGATGCTGTATCAAGACTGCCAAATCTGTGTGCGTTACAGCTATCGGGCAACCCTTGTGCGGTACGTTATGCTCTAAAATAGTGTTAGATAACCAGTACAGATGGCGCTGTTATATATTTATGTAATATTGTTTTTTACTAGTTGTGCACTGGATATGCTCGAACTTGCTTGCTGAAGTTAAGTCGTTTAAAATGGCTTGACTGCCGAGAAGTTTTGGATTCAGACAGGCCATTAGAATTTACGGAAGTACACCCAGATGATTTGAGGTCTACCTACTTTCATTTCACTGTTTTTCGAATTGTGTCTTGTCCTCAACCACCTAAGGCTGAAAAGGTAACAGAATATTTATGATTTTGACAAATGTATGAAAACAAGAGTCGCTATGTTAAATTCATTATTTAATTTAACTAGGGTGCTTCTACAAGCTTTCACATAGAATTAGAACTGCCTTTATTGGACGTGGTAAGGAGGAAGTTCTTAATGTTCCGAAGACCTGAATCCCTCGTGGAACTTCTGCCTCCACCTGAAGACGAAGAGTGGCCAAATACCGCAGGGGCTTCTGTCCCCGCTATAGGTAGCAGAGTTATTTCTGGCAAAATTCAAGGTAATAAGTTATCAAGTACCCTTTTTGTTGAAACGCTGTTTATTGTTAAATAGAACTAACGCATCTTTTTTGTTAAGTATAATCAATCAATTAACATTAATATTAATTTAGTCAAACACTATTACTTAATGCAAGATGGATGCCATACATAATAATAAACTGCTAGAGTCCAGACCCTGACTGAGAATTTTCAATAATTCTGAATAATTTAACAGTATTTAGTATTATTGACTGCCTCGTTGGCCGAATGGTCGCAAGTGCGACTGCCGGGCAAGGGGTCTCGGGTTCGATTCCCGGGTCGGGCAAAGTATTACTGGGTTTTTCAAAAATTCTCAGTAGTAGCACGGAGTCTAGAATTGTGCCCGGTATATGGCAATAGGCTCACCCCCTATTACATGGGACATATAATGTGCACCTCTGCCTACCCCTTCGGGGATAAAAGGCGTGATGTTATGTTATGTTATGTTATGTTATGTTATGTTATGTTATGTTATGTGTTATTTAGTATTATGTCAGATGTGGAAAACTTAAATCCATATGTCACCTGTTATTCTCGCAACGAAATAATCATAAAAAAGTAGCTTGCTAACTAATAAAAGATATAGCTTCAGGTATAATCCAAGATGAACAGTCATCTCACGGTTCAGACATCTTTAACAATATGGTGCCTAAGAATACTAGAGAGATACACAACTACACTACGTTTGAGAGTAGTAAGGTGCAATGGAACAAGCTGATGAACTTCAATGAGCCGGTTGTGAAGATCTTCTGCCCAGACCTCGTCGCATTGAGGGATACCTTCCGATCAGCTATCACCATCCGACTTGTTTATTCTATTGTAAGTAGAAGATAATTAATTATTAACAGTTTATTTCTGTAGCTAAATTTCTTCAATGCCGTATACTGAGACTGAGTGTTTTAGAAAACTTCAGTAGTTATAGCTAATACAAGTTGGATGTGTTTGTTTAGTCAGCCTGGATACGCACCACCATTAATAGTAAGCACTGAAATTCTCAATGTTTACTTAATTCTTAACAATACAGGTCTACACACCCCCGAAAGCGGGTAAAGCCGAGAAACAGAAAAGTCTACAAACGATAAAACCACCAGGGGAGATGAGAGTGATTATAGCGACGATCAGGTGCTCCCTCAGGGCTCCGGACTGGAGCCAACAATCTCAACACTTCCACTGGGACGAAACTCTAGGTACCAGCGACGCTATACATTGGGGCGATGGAGATCTTGCTGTGAGTATTACAGTCAGACTATTAAACATATTGGAATATAAATTATTGAACCTTCGGAACTGATTGAAACTGACTGTTATACTAATGAAAATAAGGTAGATTAACAATTGTTTCCTTTTGGAATTTACTACACGTCAAAAGCTGCATCGTAAAATGTTGAACTTTGAACTGTGCAAATAATTGACCTCTATCAAAATATTTCTTAGTAATGTGTCAAAACGTATTAGAAAATAACATTAATTGAATTTTCTTTACACTTTTGCTAACCATCATATGAGAAGTGGGTGTATACATAGCCCCTTAGGCGCCCCTGTGTGGGCACACGATCTCCGGGGAGGCGGCGAACCTCCTTGCCGGATTACCGCCTTGACTGATGCCGATACGGAGGCTTGGAGGACTTAACGGGTTGCAGGGGCTCCGGCTCGAAGGGCAGGAGTAGGAACAGAGTGGTTTGTAGTCAGTAAGAGTCTAACACTCTCTATCGCCTCGCCCAGGCGAGAGAAGACATTCGATGATCTTCCTCAATTTATATTTTTAAAAATAAATTGTGGGTTAACTTATGCTGTTTTTTGTTTATTGGCCAGATTGACGTAAAAGATATTAAGGTTTTTCCTTAATATCGTTGGCCAGGCTTGTTATGCCTACTAAGTATTTTTATTCGATAAATATGATTTCAACCCGTTATTTTTATTGCACACACCTGATGCAATACTTATCTTTCACGACTCGTAATTTAAAAGAACAGACTTATTTTCGTATCATTTATTATTAAATGATTTATGTTGATAAATAAATTTCACACAAGATCATAGAACTCTATTCTAAAAAGCCATAAATATAGGTATCGTAAATGCTTTTATTGATTTTAAAGTAGTAATGAATATGAAATATGATAGTGATTCTAGGCCAGAGATGATGACTCAATAAAAGCTTCCTTGAAAAGAAAATATAATTGGTATAATAGAAGTGTAACTACCAACAGTGTATGTTGTGGAAAGCAAATGAATCATATTGTTTCGTTATAGTATTAATTATTTCCTTCCTAGAGGTCAGATGGAGGTTATTAACTTACTGTTACGCATAGTGTACAACCCTTTTCGACAGTTCAATTTTAATACTATTCTCCAATTGCAAGTCATCCTTAAGGCCTACCTTAACCAGTTTGATCTGCATTAAAATTCAATGCAAAGAAGTTCAAAATTGCAAAATCTAATAATATTTTACCCGACTCGGAGAACTAACTCGTTGCAACAGCATTAATCTTAGGCCATTTTCGACCACACACGAGCAGCGAGACAGTCATGAGTCAGAATTATATGAAATATCCTCAATATCGAGGGAACGTAAACAATGAATTCTATATTTAGATATTAAATCCTTGCGTAGTGTACACACAGAATACACATACATACGTCGTGACGTCATCGTCTTCATACTGCTTTGACTTACACATCAATGTCGTGGTGGCCCGGAGGTTTATGACGCCCGCTTCTAATGCATGAGAGTGCGGGTTTCGGAACCTACCAATGGCAAGTACCAAAGTGACTTTTTCCGAGTTGTATGTACTTTCTTAGATTATTTAGACACCACTGACAAACGGTGAAGGAAAACATCGCGAGGCTTATACTTTCTTATAAGTTTGAAATCGCCAACCCGCATTGCGCAAGCGTGGTGATTAATGCTCAAATCTTCTCCGTGCGAGACGAGGCCTTTGGTCAACAGTGGCCATTTATAAGCTGTTGATGTTGTTGATAATGATGAGATATCAAGAATTGATGGTATTTACGACAAATCCCTAAATCTATGATAATCCGCTGATAATCAATCTCTAAATAAGAAGACAGTCTTACTAAGAAGATTTGCTTTCATCCTTTAACCCTTCTTACTTTCCTCCACAGGTCCTTCAGTATAGCCAGGGACCAGTTAAAGTCACAAAAGGGAAGGTGGATGCCGAAATGGGATCTAGACAAAGCATGCCGGAATTTTTGACTTGCCATTTCGGATTCGGAATCGATACTTTACGCACAACGTAACACTTTAAATAAATCAAATCAAATGTAAATGTGAATAAAAGATCATAGGAACTGTTATTGTAGACTGTTATTTTAAACTTTAATGACGTTAAAATAAGGTTTAGGTGCTTAAAGGTCTACGTGGAAATTCCACCATCAATGTCAAAAACAGAATAAAAATGTTCTGAGTTTTCAGAGGCAGATTACGTGGTCAGAATTTGGAAGCTGACCAAAAAATTTAATGTTAAGAATAAGTAATATTTGTTGCAAATCCAATGATATCAATCACTTTTTCAAGAAAGTTCCAAGTAAACCAATAAAACCAAGTTTTCTTTGTATCCGATTGTTTGATATCAACAAACAGGCTCCAAATTGTCTTTTGTTTCTTTAAATTCTGTATTCGAAATTCAAAAAAAGCCTATTGAATGAAATTGTGAATGTGCCAGGTTCAAAACTGCATAAAAAATTTTTGCTCTTACTAATATAACATTTTAGCTAGGGCCAAACGAAACTGAAAATACAAGGTCGGCCAATAGATGTGTCCAGAAGTGTAGTAAAAATATTTCATCCCGTAATAAAATCCAGGAAGTGAGTACTACTGGTGCGTAGTTCTTAAATGTGTGACTTGTTATCATTTTTTTGGAAACGTGAATAGTGTATCACGTTTCTTTGAATTGAGTGTCATAGGTCAAGGCATTTTTAAGATAGGACGTGCAATTTTTTTTTATATCTTAGTTACTAGGATCTTTATCATGCGCAATATAGATATCTTTTCCTAAGTTGGCAATTGAGAAAGTTCATTGCTAACCAATCGTCAAGTTCTTGAATCTCCGAAGTCCTTTCAATTAAAGAGAAGGATCAATTATTAAAAAAACTGTCTCATATTTCCATACACTACGATGATCTTATTTTTAGCAGGTCCTGCAAAGACCCCACCAATACTTGTTTATAAGAACCCTATTTAATTCGATTAAAGTGTTTTGAGGCAAGTGTTCATATCCTCAATTTGTGGACCACAAGCCGGTCTTCCAGTACGAGGTCGGTTCCAGTGTCCAACGGTCGATTGTTTGTGTATTAATGGCTGTGGCTCCACATGAGCGCTGGGGGAGTCAGGCGGAGTATCTGTTGTCATGTCTGGGTTACGCAGTAGGAATTGGCAATATTTGGAGATTCCCTTACTTATGCTATCGGAATGGAGGGGGTGAGTAATGCTAATTCGATCCCATCAATTTTAAAGTTGTTCGACATTTATTTTTAAACAATGTTAGCTACACTAAACTACTTACACAATAGACAGTGATAAAACTTTAATAAATAATCAAACTTTGTGTAAACATTTCAATCTCGTCTTATTCAACTAATTCACCACTACTACGAAAACCAATTTGCATAAATTGAAGATGAAAAGATATAACAGTTTCGTAAGTACACAATAATAATATTAATCCCGTTACGTCGCTGTCTGCTGTCTATAATAGAGTCTCCTTGAAATTGGTCACAAGTAGTCACAACACCCAAATACCATTAACATAATTTTATTTTGTTTCAGGAGCATTCCTCATTCCATATTTCCTCACATTAGTTATTTGCGGCATTCCGCTTGTTTATTTAGAGACGACGTTAGGACAGTTCGCTAGCGCGGGATGCATTTCAGTTTTCAACATTAACCCGTTATTTAAAGGTAACATTTGCAATAACATTCAGTTTGATTATGATTCCCATGTCTATGTTTAGTTCTTCCTCGACAGGAGCGGGATATGCGGTCGTAATATTAAACGTAATAGGTGTAACGTACTTCTCAGCAATCATGTCGTACCCGGTGCTGTACATTTATCACTCAATGAGCTCACCCCTGCCTTGGCAAAGTTGTGGCAATTCCTGGAACACGGATAAGTGCACCGAGGTTGGGTAATTTTAGTTTTATGGATTAAGCAATTCGTTTGCATGAACCGTATCTTGTATTTGCATCGCGGAATTATTTTGCAGATAAGCGGTAATAGCAGTTTCTTTACCTCAAATGGGTCTATTACTACACCTGAGGATGAGTTTTTTCAGTAAGTCTAGTACTTTGAGTATTATTATATACCGAATCACATTGACTTCCTATCCATTTTGTCATCAAATATTTGTCACGTTTAAAGCAATCGTCTGCTACGGATGTCTCCGGGTATCACACATATCGGTGGTGTCGTGTGGCCTGTATTCTGGAGCAATGTCATCTGTTGGGTCATCGTGTACCTCTGCATCTGTAACGGAGTCAAAAGCGTTGGAAAGGTGAGCTGTCCAATTATTCCCAGTTAATCATCTTGGCACGCTGCCGCGTTGTCAATCAGAAAGCAAAAATCATATTTTTTCGTCGAACCTTCAGTTCTGAGAAGTATTATGCGTTGTGTATTTTTGTTCTCAGATCGTGTACTTCACTGTATTGTTCCCCTACGTAGTGCTGACTGCTTTATTTATTCGCGGCGTCACGTTACCCGGCGCTTGGAAGGGCATTCTGTTCTATATCCTACCGGATTGGGGGCAATTGAAAAAGCCGAAAGTAAGTATCTATAAGTAACAATGAGGTCAAGTTCATACGTCTCTCACCTACATTAAACTTTAGTGGTTTTATTCTTAGTGGTTTATTTTTAAAATGTTCTTCAGGTATGGGCTGATGCAGCTACACAGTTGTTTTATTCTTTAGGCCCTGGATGGGGTGGATTGATCGGTATGGCTAGCTTCAATAAATTCCACTATAAGAATTTAAGGTATGTGTTTTTCACTTTTAGTAACTTTATCGTCAAGTATGGTGTCACTTTCTACCAATTGTATACTGCTTATTATTATTTTCCAGGTCTTCAATAATAATTCCTCTAGTTAACAGTGGGACTAGTATTTGGGCTGGATTCGTAGTTTTCTCCATGCTAGGTTTTGCAGCTGATCGATCTGGGGTTCCTGTAGGCGAAGTGGCTACTGCTGGGCCTGGCCTGGCCTTCATTACCTACCCTGCTGCAGTCACCATGATGCCTGCACCAAATCTGTGGGCTGTGACTTTCTTTGTCATGTTATTTTTCCTTGGAATTGATTCAATGGTACTTACTCTATCGTTACCTCTTAGATTGTCTTTAATTTTTTTTTAATCAGCTTTCAATGACAATGTAATTACAATATGATATGAAGCGGATAATTTATTTTTAAATAAAGAATCAACCAAGTTCAGTTTAAAGTGAAGGTCCACTTTCGGTTTATCAATCTATAGAGACAATTAGGTAAAATAATATTCTTGTTGTCATAATAACCGATACCTACTATTTTTGACCTTAGTGAAATTTTATCTGTATTTCTTTGATAAAAATAAATACTTTAGTCGTATTATTAAATTGGAATTCGAGTATTGTGTGAAATTCATTGACACGGTATGAACAAGATTTAAAAGTGCTTTTAAAGGAATAATTATTCATTCTTATTTATAATCTGCATGGCGAATGAGACAGATACTTAGCATAGTTACTATAGTAAATTGCACGGTAAAAACTTGCTAAGGTTTTGTTTGTCGAAATGTTTTGAAAATCTATTAACATAGAATAATAACACAGCTTAAGAAACGTTAAGCTAACAGTAAGACAGGTTTTTAACATAATATAATGTTCCAGTTCGTTACAATAGAAGCAATCCTGTCAGGTGTAGTTGACGAGATCCCTGCCTGCCGCACACGGAAGAAACTCATCACTTTCCTCACGTGTTTGATATTATTCAGCTTTTCAATCATCTGCAACACCGAGGTATGTCCAAATGTCTTCATACTGCAGTTTATTTTGCACTTAAATACACATGGAAACAGCTCCAACCAATAGTTTGTTCGTTACTATAGACACGGCAAAATAAACTACCCTAAAACTATCAAATTTCATCAAAATATTTTATGCCTTATTGCGTTTGTGATAGAATTTGATGTCGTTTGTAAAGATTAGGAAATTGGGGTAGCTTGATGTGCTGGTATATGTTTCAGAAGTTGCGATTGAATGTTTTGTTCGCGTGACTGAAGCGCTTGAAAGTTTCATATGCATGGCTGAATGACTGCCAACTCGTTTGGTAGATAGTCGGGATAGTGAGTTGTTAGAGTATATTGGTGTATCTGTGGTTTCACTAATTGAAGTAGTATTTCACGATTTTTTTACATATGACACCCAGAACCGTAACAACAATTTGTGGAACTCAAAAAGAGTCGCTCCGTGCGGAAATCGAACCCGCTACACGTTGCGCAGCAGCCGGTTGCCCAGCCACCGCGCCAACCGTGCAGTCATTACAGTCAGTGCAGAGATGAGATTATCTTGATGTATATTTTAAGTCATCTTTCATTTTCAATTTCATAACACTCTGTATGAATATGTTTTATTTTTGCGGTTTTTCTAGTAAATTGCACACTGTCCTGTAAAAATCCCTTTCATAAAATTGCAGCTCCTGAAACCAAACATAGAAATATTAATAGTTAACTAATATAAAAACACGTTTCTTTTCATGCCCAATTCTCCAATAACGTCAGAAAGTAACTGTATTTTACACACAGACTTAATATTGTAAACACAAAAGATTAACCAACTTATATTGCAACCAGGGTGGACTCCACGTGATTGGCTTGCTGGACGCGCACGTGGCTATAGCCTGCACTCCTATAGTCTGTGGCCTGGAGATCATAGCCGCGCTGTACACTTATGGACCACGCAGGCTATCAGCTGACATCATGTTCATGACGGGACAGCCACTGGGAAAACTGTGGCTGGTAGTGTGGAGATACATCGTACCTGTTATACTTGTGGTATTTATAATTATTCTACATATTTTGGTACATTTGTCAATAAGTTTTTTTTTTTGATGTTGTTATCCACTCTTACTTCTCTTAGTGTGGTAGCTTTCCTTAAGGGTTGTTGACAAAGGGGTCAATGTGTATTAAGAATAGGACTACCTATAGGAAAAATAATAAATGTGGTCACTAATTGATCATATTTGTCATGTCACAACACTGTCGTCGTGGTGGCCCG